CCACGGCAGCGCTAGTGGTCATTCCTCTGCCCAACGTCGCCACCTCCGCCTCTGCCTCCAGCAATGTTGCTAAAGGTGGGCGGAGGCAAAGGCGGCGGCAGTGGTGCTAGTGGGCGGAGGTGGCAATGTTGGGCAAATGAATGACTAATAGCGCTGTCGTCGTCGTCTCTGCCTCCACTCACCTCCAGCAACGTTGCCGGAGGCAGCGGCGGATGGTGGTGCTGATGAATGGATTGCAAGAGGAAGAAGATGAACATTGTTTTTGCCCTTAGTTGATATTATTTTAAAAAAGTTAACCTATTTTTGAATTTTTTTTAAAAGTATTACTTTAATTGATATTAAGGCCCTAAAGTTGCCCTTATCTGTTATAATCCCTTTTTTTTTTGGGGGGGGGGAATATCTATTGTTTGGTTAGCCATTTATTTTCAAAAAAACATTTTCTCACACCTTGGAAATAGAGAAAGGTATGGTCTAAGAAAATGACTATTTTTTTTTGTGTTTTCCCATTTTTTCTGCTATTGATAGCAACAATAAGGTGACATGGCATTAAAAAACACCTATGTGACAGAAACAACAATGGTGATAAAATAGAAAACCTAAGAAAACAGCATTATTTTCGAGAAAACACCTCTCAGAAAGCGACATTCATTCCAAACAACACCTTTAGCTTCAGGTGTTGTTTGACTCCATTTGTACTGTCAGCTAGCAAACAAAAGTAAACAAGATTTGCACTCAATTCATTTGAACTCCCATACATTATTTTGTACCAACGCAAATGAAATTGATTTACAAACAAATGAATTTTCATTTCTATAGAAATGCAAATTAAAGGATAAAGAGACCTCCTTATATACTAGGAGCATCACTCTAATCTCTATCTCTTTGTTTTTTTACCAAAAATAAATAAATAAACATCTTACATGCTTATCAAGGAAAAAGAAGAGAAAAAGAAGAATAGAAAGCGATAATTTTCATTTTAGCTGCGTTTGGAAGAGGTGTAAAACTTCACCATTGGTTTAGTTTCATTGATGTTTGTTTGGAGTGTAAATCAAGATCGATGTAAAACTCTACTCTATTTCAGATTTGTAGGTGTTTGGATGGAGTGGAGTTTTACATCGTAAATCAATGTACCATGCCACTTATGATAAGGTTTTACATCGATAAAATCAATGTATAAACTACATCAATAAGCATGTTTAATGATTCACATTTTCAAACGGTCTGATGTGAAACGTCATCGATAACGTTTTACACCGCTTCCAAGCAGCCTTTAGTATTGCATAGAACTCAAAATTAATTAATATGACAATTAAATGGATCCATTTCTGATTATTAAGAAAAATGGAATTGAATTCATATCTTCAAATATAGAAACGAGTCCATATGACCAGTTCTTGCAAGGATGGGTAGGCTCAATCCATCCAATGGAGTGGTTTCCTAAGAAAGGAAGGTTAAACGAGACAACTAAATGAGCCCAGCCCAGAGGCCCATTGGTTCCAGCCCAATCCCCACGGCTTAAACTAGAGTTTCACAATCGTTTGAAAATGTATTTAAGAAGTCGAGGACATAATGAAACAAAGGAGCAGCAGCCGCAAGCCCGCGATAGGGTGCGTGATGGGTTAGGGTTATGTCAGACTTAAGATGGAGGGTCTCTCATTCTCTGGTTCTCTCTGAGAAAAGGGAATGAGAAGTTGTGGATAACAGATGAGAGGCCAATGACGATCATGTCGCAAACAACGCATTGCCTACATTGTTTGACTGTAGCCATGATAGGAATTTGTAGCATTTCTGAGGCCTCTTCCATCTTTTTTTTTTCACTCACTTTTTCATTTTATTTTTTTTTTCTTTCTTAGTCATTTCATTTGAAATCTTTCACTGTGTTCTTGACAGACGATTCATTTGGGTGCCCCAATTTTGAATTAAAATGGTCAAGAAAATTTTATGAATGTTTTCTAAGATATCTAACATCAAGACGAGGCGCAGGAAAACAAAGTTTTCTACAATCTACAGGAAGTTTTCCAAGAAGCTAAAGCCAAAAAATTATTCCCGGCTTCGTGCTTCGCTTTCGCCTATCATTATCAATTTATCCTATAACGTAATACAATTCTTCCTATTTCCTAATACCGTTTATTAGGTTATGATTTTTCGTCAAGAAAACGTTTTAATTTAGGCAATTTCTGGTAAGGGAATTAAAGAGGCGTCCTCTCCAGTATCTGTTTGGCGAGTACTCCTGCTTGTCGTCATATTCGAAAAAACATCATCAAAACCAGCCCAGATGACCAGAAGCAGACCCAACTAGATAGCGATTGCTTAAGCAAATTTTAGCAGGCGGAACGGATCTGTGCCCAACAACAAACCACTACGGCTGCACACAGGGAATATCTCCTTGGTGGCTATAAAATGGGTAGAGCAGCAAACTACTGCATGTAAAGGCCAGATGGCTATAAAATGTAATTTTGCCACCATGACTGATGCCCTTAATGAAAGCTGCTTCCCTCTTGTTTGCCAAAAAAAAAGAACTGATGATCGAGAAATATCAGCGACGCCCCTGTTAGGCCATGAAGCTAAAAGTTGATGCGCTATGCCTATAGCAACTTGTAGATAAGTATGTGGAATTGTGGATAGATTTTGTATGGAAACTGGAAAGCAACTTGTTCCATTGTTATGGTAGGTAGCATTGATGCCTCGGCCGATGTCCGTACTGGGACATCCTTGGCAAAAATTTGATTCAAAGTAGCTTCATGCTTAAAATGAAGCAGGGACCTATATTTTTGCATTGATATACTTTCTTCACTCAAGCCATTAAAGCTATCACCTTACTCCCACTGTTATTAAATGACGCTAAATCCTTGTCTCATGATTTTCATTCATGGGGACTGGGGAGATGCACGGCAACGAGTGCTGTGAGGTAGTTTCTGGAGCTGGAGGGTCATTCTAGGAGGAAATCGGAATTACTTCAATTGGGGCATCTTCAATCTTTTTATCTTGAATGTAGCCATTTTCATTTCCATTGGGAACTAAAATTCAGCAAAATGATAATTTGTATTTTTTCATTGTAGTTTTAAATTTTTTTATTTATAAAAATTGTTAAGGTCCCTTTGATCTTGAAAAAATTATCCAAAAAAAAATCACAAGTTTGTATACACATTTATTGTGCAATCAGTGACTGGATCGAATGAGTAGGGATTTGCTTCATACAAAACTTGTTCCAACATTATCGGACACTCTACATCTCATCATGAAACTAGGACCCACCATGTATGAGATGTGTGATGTCAGATCATGTTAGAAGTGTGTTGAAACGTATTTGTTGGAAGCAGATTCGGTTCATTTGCTCTCCAACTCAATGGTTTCAAATTTCAATAGTTTTCTTAAAGATTGACCAAAGTATCAAACTCAGCATTGTGCTCTTAGCCATTTACCAACTAAATTTCCATTTCTTGCTTCATCTAATTTCAGCTTATCCCATTTTCTTCTCCATTTTTGGACGGCCATTACTCTAACAATGACAAACAATAACACAAGTATAAATTATTGAGATCAAGATTGAGTATCCAAAAAAAATTTCTATTAAAATGGCAATCAAGTTGATACTGACTAGAGGTATGGGCCAGTTCCAGGTTTTTGGGACTGAAAACCTGACAGGGGTCAGTTCCAGGTTTTTGGGACCAAAATCTACCCTGACAAGATTGGTTCTAAGGTCAATTTTGGCCTTGGCAGTTCTATGGGTTGCCCATGGAATTTGTTATTTCTTTATTCCTTTCCCACCCAAAAAGAATACTATTATTTAAATACTCGATTTTCAAAAATAATAATAGCTCAAAACTTATGTCACATTTATTGATTAAATTGAATAATTTAATATAATTCAGACTTTTCATTATAATTTAAGTTTTGTAAATATTACATTTTTCATTATTTATTATACACATTCAAATATCAAAATTGAAAAAAAAAATCAAATAAAAAATCAAGAACATGTTTTTTTAACTTAACTACGAGTGCTTGGGTTCAAATATTCACACCACCAAAATATCTGGATTTATATGATTATTTCAAAGCAAGTTCAATTCCAAGGCCAATTCTTTAGCAAGTCAGGTAGGGTAAACCCTAAAGCCTGGAATTGGGCTAGGTAGGGGTCAGTTCCTTTCAGTTCAGAATAAAACCTATCGAATAGAGGTACGATAAGGAAGGCACATACAATCACAAGTGTTAGCCTTCTGCACATGACACACTCAATTTGGAAGAAGTACAAATACAAATATGCAAAGTGTAAAGCCTTATATTTTGCATCTACACAATACAAGGTTTTGCACTCTACATATATGTATTTGCACTGTAAATATTTGTATTTACAATTTCCACACTGAGCCTTAGGCTGTGATCGGTTACAGTGCAATTTTATTTTTGCTTTGGGCCTTTTATTTCATTTGTATTGTAACCAAACAAAATATAGGTAAAAACTTGAAAAAAAAAACAAAATTTAAACAAAAATCATTTGTACTACCATTATTTTGCATTAGTGCAAATTTATTTGCACTACAACCAAATACAGCCATAAGAATGGAAAAGATGAAAGACCTGAAATAGGTAACGAGTCATGTGCAAGATAATGAGAAAACAGCCTCCAAACAGCCAAAGTTTTGTCCCACATAGACGCCCGTTACACAAAAGCAAACAGCAGATCACAAGTGGGCAATAATATCAGATTACCGGCTTCTTCTTCATAACACAAATCGGATTTTGAAAAATCAACAACGTGCCTGGAACTGGAACTCTACGCGACAACACCATGCAGGAAACCATTAACCATCTCTTATTCCCATAAATATTTTGTATATGTTTGAAACCGTGGCATTTATTCATTAAACGTTTATATTTGATTTATTTGCAAAATCAAGAAAAGTAATAATGAACCCATTTATTAACACTTGGGCACATCAGCAAAACAGTGAATGCCTCTACCCATTGGAGGATGCATTAAAAATGAAGGTTCCCCCACCGGAAAACACACATAAATCAATGCCTGTTTTTGCAAGTCTCTGTGTACGGATCCACATAATGGGAGAAATGCTAAAGTAACGTATGTGGCAGCACCAATTCAATAAACGCCCATGGTCCCAAACACATGTTCTGTAGCCTCTTTTCTCTCGTACTAGATACAGACCACTCGTAATTTACTTTCATCTAAGGTTAATCGAAAAATGCATCAATCTTAAAAAAAACCCAGCGTATAGACCAAAAAAGAAAACTTAGTAGTAGAAAATTAACATATAGCACACTTTATCATGCCTACGGATGGTTTGGTTGATTACTTCAACAAACTTTCAACATTTAAGTTCTGCACTGTTTCACCTGGAGAGAGTCAAACAGGTATGTTCTCAAACAGGGGTTCCAGGGTCAAATGCCACAGCCGCCCATCAAAATTGATTAACATATAACCCGTCACAAACAGGTAAGGGGACTGATAATATCCTCGGCAAGCAAAAACTACCATGCAGGAGGCCCACGGCCAGCTTCCCAGAAAACGGGTTTTGTATGGGCCAATCCGAACTCTACCGTCTTCTAGCTTTTACTTGGTTAAATTGATAAGAAATCAATGACGGACTTGTAGAATGCACCAGAAAATTTTGACAGTACACGAGTAAATAAATTCTTTGGGCTGAGGCCAGAGAATGCAAAAGTTGAAACCGACTCTCTTATTGTTCTCACTTATTTCTTTCATCACCAAAACTCGATATGATTATTTCTCAGAAGAAATCATAACGATGAGAGGTACAACGGTTAGGCATAAAAGCCATATTTCAATGAAGAAACATGCCTGTTAAAGTACTTCGATCACACATCGGCAAAGCATCTGGACTGCACGATATAATAAAACCTTCAAACGTGGGGTTGAAGGCCCATGTCCATCACTCACTTTTGCGACATCACAAAGGTTACGTGTCCCCATCCATTTTCCTTTCTTATCCAAACCAACCATCAATCCCAAGTCTATTCAACAGTACTTTATGGAGACGGTACAAATGTTGCTGCAAAATCAAGGAACGATTATTCCAGGATACTAGAGAAATTAACCCCGGTATCCAACTATTCAACTAAATATGCCTAGAATATCCAAGACACAAGTTCGAAGACTAATGTAGTCATTGCCCCAAAGGCAAGCTCCAACAAGCCATGATCTAAATTTTTGGGTTCCTGAAGCTTGATTTGGCATTTAACAAATGAAAAGAATCTTAGCAGTTTGACACACGTTAATGATTAGACATGCTGGTGTACATTTAAAAAGTAATTACAACCACCCAACAAACACCCTAGAATGAAAAAATATGATATCCAAAAACATGTAAGCCTCCTTGATCCATCTCACCATAACACACGAAAGGAAATACACACAAAGAAATAAACTGATTGTCACATGCACGCTTGACTATTTTGGCATTCATGATAGCATGTGGCGATTGATGATATATAAAATACAGACAAGGTAAAATTAAACAGTGATAGAGGAATATTATTTCATTACTTTTCCAAATCAGTGGTGCGGAGAAAATCTTGGGTTTTGTATGGAAAACACAGACATGGCTGTTTGGCAGCTTCCTGCGCGTAACACATTAACATGAGTGAAAGGTAAAAGAATATTTATCCCCAATATTCTTTTAGTCAAAATGACAAGAAAAGGGACTGAGAGGGATAACGTGTCATGTGGAAGAAGCTCCCACACAGCCCACGCTGATTTTTCCAAACAGCCAAGGTTTCCCCGTGGTGCTGGTTTTCAGTTGCTACAAACATGGGGGCCATATCAAATAGTTTGAAGTTGCACCTATTCATTGAAAAACAAATATATCCACATTTCATTTCAGCCTGTTCTTGCTTGACTTTTTTTTTATCAGCTGCTTAACGTTGTTAAAATCTAGTTTTATATTGTGAAATACTATAGAAGAATACAAGCTACAGCTAATAGCTTAAGGGGATGTTCTCCAAAAATGAAAATTATGAATGTCACTCACGGAATTTCATGTTATAGAGCTCAGCCTCAATGTTATAAAGGAGTCAATTTCCAGGCCCGGTGCCCAAATAAAATTTGCAGGTCATCAAATATCAAGTATAAACAAAATATTAGATTTGCCATAGACCTACTGCCACCCTCCTAAAAAATAGAGTTTCTTATGGAAGTGTTCTGTTAATGCAGTAGCAGTCAAAGAGAACTTGTTTCAAAAGAAAATCTTAATGGATCCTGAGTGTGTATTCTGAATCCCATCAAATGGCAGGCTTCCTCTCTTTCAGAGAATGGCTGAAATCTTGGTTTAAGCTCTGTAGTTCTCAGGGAGAGAGAAAAGGGGAGCTGAAAGCTTATTCAGCCCTGATGTTAAGGAATAACTGGCTTCACCAAAATGATATTGTTTTTAATGATAGCTCTCCTAATCCTTCTCTTGTCATTGACAGGGTAGCGAGACAAGGTGCTGGAGCTTCATAGGACGGATCCTACTTCACATCACAAATACAGCTCCCTTCTGATGGAGTTGATGGAGCTGTTTCTTTTTGGTATCCCCCACAAGAGAAGTGGGTAAAGATAAATGTAGATGGGGCTTTTGTAAATAAAGACTTACTCAATTGGGGTGGTGGCTCGTGAGTCATGACTTGTTGAGCTTGTGTTTAGCAGTCAAGCATGGCCCTTTTTTGGTTGCTCTACAGCTCAGATGGAATCTTTGGCTGTTTTTGAGGGTTGGAAGCTGGCAAAGCTGTTGAACTTTAAGAATATCTTGATTGAATGTGACTAAGAACTTTGTGAACTGTTTCTTAAAGCAGGATCTGCCTAGTTATGGAGAATTCTGTTCCCCGGTTCAGACTGCCTCTATCTGGCAAGGGACTTAATTGCTCAGTTTGCCTGGGTTTGAAGAGGTGCCAATCAGACAGCTCATGCTGCGACTCAAAGGGACCTTCAACAAGAAGGCTGTTGGATCAATGCTTGTCCAAGCTGGCTAGCAGATTGGATTTTATAGCATATCTGAAGAAAGTGTTTAGTTAGTTTTGTTTTGTTTTTAGTTTGTGCTTGTTTGTTCTTGTTTCTATGTGTGGTATCTTTTAGTTTCTGGCTTTTTTGTTTCCTTTGTCTTGTGGTGGCTTCGCCTGTATTGGTTGTTTTTCTCACCTGCTGGTTTACCAAAACAATCTTCAAATCAGGTACCCAACTTGCACCTGGGTAACAAGTAGGCAGCTAAAAGCTGACAAACACCGAAATCAGAAACCAACAACTAAGATTACATTTAATGCCCCTGGCCCTGCACTACCCCATCCCAATTCCCTCCTATTCAGAACTTCCATCCTGACTACGCTATCCACCAATCTGTCAGCAGAATTCTTCTGTCAGATTTGAACGTATTGACATAGATGGTGACTAAGAACGATTGCTTGCACAGATTGCTATTGGCCTAGGAGGTTCAACCTACGAAAGAGGTGTACAATATTGCTGTACTATTTGATCTAGTGCACCATCTATTTCTAGCTAACATGTTTGATATAATTTCAGACATACTTGTAATGAGATGTTTATTTTTAAAGATTCATGAGCTTCAAGTGAAGTTTAAAGTCATGTAAGCTTTTGAAGGATTTTTCTGGAAATATATTGGTATAAAAGTTTGGGTCAAGAGAACCTGTTCTTTTTTTATCAGCAGAGTCTATTCTTGTTTTCTAATTTATTATTTCTAAATTCTCAAGTTTGTTCAATCTGAAGAAACTGCAATTAACCCATTGATGATTTTATTATTGTTCTGTTCTCTCTATTTAGCTCTTGCTTCTTCGCCTGTTTCTCTCAACAGGTGTGCTACTGCACTTAGACCAGCAATTGCCAAAACAGCTGGTTGCCAGTCAAATTTCCCACCTAGTGAAAGCTTGCTCAGATAAAATGCAGTTGGACAGATATGCTAAACTTCCAAACAAATAGTCATGCCAGAAAGTGTTTAATACCATGGATATTAGATTACATTACCCTGATGCCTGTACAAGGACGCCACATCAAGTTTGGAAACTTCAAATTTTAGTGTAAATTCTACGTCCTTGCCATATTGAGTAACATAGGTTTTTATTTGCCTAGCTAACTGTGTTCACTTCCCACTTTTTTATTTTTGTTAGTTCCCCCATCTAAAAACTACAGCTGCACACTGTTTTTTCTTGGGGGCTCCAAGTTTCACATCCCCTTTTTTTGGTAATAAAAAAAAATGATTGATAAAAGTCCAGAGGTGATGAGAGATCACCAAACAACTAAACATAAAATAGAACAGAACATCAAAGACATCAATCAAAATTTCAAAATACAAGATATCAGCCCAATGGCTCCAATTCTAATAATGACAAAAAACCATTCCCAAGAGATTCCTTTGACATCATCCTACTTTTTGGTGCTTAGCAACACTTGGGCATGCCAATGGCACCTGAAACTCTGCAACCTGATCCAATTATGTCGGACTTGGGCAGATTATAAATGTAAACTGATCAAACTTGGATGGGGCAATTTTCATCCAATAGTTATCAGATAGAATTCGGATGTACCCCTATGGCCCAATGTGATCTGATAAAATCTGGCCCCGACAATATGTGTATTATCAGCTATTTATGATTTAAACGGTAAATGACTCCAAATTATCCCCAAAAGTTAAACCCTGACCGAGCTTCTCTTGCTACCAAGATCTTAACGCCTGTTGCTCGAAGATCTCGACACATACCAACAGCCTAAAGATCTCACTCCTTACTGTTATCTCCCCCACAATCCCATTCTCAGGTAAAGGTGAGCGGTGAAAATGAAGCAATGAAGGTCTCAGAGTCTCTTTATCTGGCATTTGCAACCTGCCTTCATATCTCCCCTCCTATTCTACCTTGCCGTCTTCTGAACTTGGAAAGGTTAAGCTTACTATCTCCAAACTTTGAGTGCCGCAAAAACCTTATTTCGGTAATTTTTTGGCTTTGTTCATTGCTACCCTCTTTAACTCTATTCCTTTTTTGCTCTTTTGTGTGTGGATTTTTTTTGCCTTTGTTTTGGATATTTGTTCCGTTTATCTAGTGCCAATTTTATTCCATGAGTTTCTTTTTTCTCTGATCATGTTTTCCATTTGTGGTAAATTACTTACTATTTTGATTTGATTCATTACAGAACACAAGAACTAGCAACTTGGATGACTAAACCAACAAGAGAGACTCCATTCTTCCACTACACTTCTTTTTTATTCCAATGATCTCAGATGAAATCCAAAATCCAATGTATCCGTTCAAATTCAAATTTGAAACTAATTTTCCATGCATCCTATCGAATTTCAGATTGAATTTGGATGACAACATTTCATTATCAAATTAAACTCAGATTTATATACATCCAATCAAAGTCCAATCCATTTACAGGCCTAGTAACATACTCTTGTTCTTTATTCATCAAAAAAAAAACATACTCTTGTTCTTTTTTATAATAAAAATAAAAATGAAAGCACAAAGGTGATGAGAAATCACCAGAAAAAAAAGTGCCACAAAAAACCAATACATATAACCCCTACAAACACAACTCAGGCTTGACCTCCAGTTGGTCTAGGCACAAGCCCGAGGTTCGAAACTTAGGGTTGGTCCTAGGTTGACCCCCAATCCAACCCAGTCCACCCAAGTTGCATCTCTACTTGTCATACTCACACTTCACCTCAACATTTTTCACATACATCTCAGGGGATTCGTCATTATCTTCCAAATAATTCCTTTCATCTTCAACATCTATCATCATGGGTGGCCTCAAAATATGTTCTGAAATCGATGATCCCAAAACCACACAATCCAAAGATTTTTTTTAGATGATCCATTAAGCTTTTTTCTTCCAACCTTGTGCTACTGCAAATTGTCCTTCTCACCCTCCCTCTTATAAACCCTTTTAAACTGGTTAAACAGGCCTACCACGTAAAGATCATCCTTCAATTGTAAATAATAATAATAATAATAATAATAAATCATAGTTACACGAACCAAATGATAGTTGCTTTATCCTTTTTTACCTTTCTGACAGAATAGTAAATTTGCCTCTTTTTCTTGATTCTCCAGTCATCACCCACTAAACAAGGATGCGCCTCCTTCACCCCTATCTCCTCTTCCACTGCCAAGTTTTGGTTACCAAGATTTACTTCCACTACAGCTGCCATACTTTCTTATTCTCAAATACAAGGAAAGGCTTACCCAAAAAATGAAGAGAAAGGGCAAAGGGGGTGACAAAAAAAATCAATATAAATCAATTTTATTCCACAAATTGCAAATCTCTAATGTTTCAAGAGTATCACAATATCTTACGGTTTTTATCAGTATAGTATCTTACTAATGTGAATTCGTTTTTTGTAATTTATATTTAAAATCTAAAGTATTCAAATAAGCATAGACTCCTATTAGTATGAATTAGTTTTTTGCAGGTTATATTTAAAATCTAAAGTATGAAAATAAGCATAGACTTTAACACTCATCCACAGCGAGTTACAAATTACAAAAATCACCACAGCTCAAAAAAAAAAAAACCCTTGGTAGAATCATCTTGTAAAATCTCAAATAAGAAGATTTGATGAAAACAATAATAGTAAAGTTTAAAGAATCAACAACACTGGCCCTAAACAAGACTTACATCCTCATTCAGCCAAGAGTTTCTTTTGCCACCAAAGTGACTTAAAACAAATCACAAAATTCCTAGGGTGAGTTACTCCCAGATTTTTAATTCCTTTTTTATATATATTTTTATCCCTTTTTTTTATAAGTAAAGAGTCATATTCCATTAATTCAAAGATCGGTTACATGAAAATCCCCTTAGAGATGCACGAGGTGCTGCCTCTCCATACAGAAAACACAAAAACTACATCAAAAAGTGCATGACAGTTAAAAAGACGTAAACTACAGTTGCACCCAGAACAATGCTTCCATGTTTGTCCCTTGTTTTGCCAAGACATCAGCAAATGAATTTGCTGATCTCCCAACCCACTGTACTGTTACAGTCCTTCAAGGCCTGACTACTTCTCCCCTTTTCCTGGAAGATCGTGGCATTCCTTTCTTCCCAAACTGTCCATAACAAGGCTGCTCATGTACACCTCCACATTTTCCTTCCTCTTTTAAGGGGCCAATAGAACATAGAAGGGTTAAAGATTGTACTTACTTCTGTTGGCATATCCCATCTACACCCAAACAAAAGGGATTTTTTATCCCTTTTAACAGGTTAAATTTTGCATTTCAAGCTATGCATCCAAATGAGTCATATTAAGAATTTCAACACACTGATTCCATAAAATGAATCTAATCATCTCAAATCCCAACCATCTCTCTTATCTCTAGTAATAAGAAAGCAGAGAGAAATACAGCATGACCTAGACTCTGCCATAACTAACCTCGAGACTTTTGAAGAATATGTAAAGAAAATTTCAGGAGTATCCTCATGTATCGTAAGAATGACTCCAGTGTACTAAAAGCGTCACCTAGGCAACAACCAGGTAACCATAAGGCATGTTGGAGCCCCACAGCCTGGGCAACCAACAATGCAGGCAGTATAGATAGGATCATCTAGTGGGGGCAAATAGCTTTGTATGCCATCTCTATAAATTTAACTGTATAACCCATTTTGAGTCAGGGATGTGTGTAAAGATAACAACAAGGTATATTATTCCCTATGTGAATATATGCTTTACATTGAATCAGGGAGGCTCAGGCTACTCAAGAATCTTGTTTCTTCTCTGAAAACAAGTAACTTGTAAGTTGTCTTTTTATAATTTTCAAACAAAATTCGCAGTTCAATAGTTTAAATTGGCATGCAACTTTCATACATTATAAAATAAGTATAAATTTATTCATTTGTTTTTGTCGTCTAGGAGACACCTAATTACAGCCAAGGCATGAACATGATCCATCCACCTTACTACAGTGGTACATTTGACAAAATAATTTAAAGGCTTCACATTCTTCTTTGACCCCTATCATACTCCTTATTTGAAAAAGAGAGAGAGAGATCATTGCTTTGAAAACAAGCACGAATAAGAAATGATCTTACAGGTAAGTATATGAAGAACATTGAACTGCTATCAAGTGTTATACACACAAGTGGGTGGACCTTAACCTTCTTAGGTATTGTTATTTTAATTTCGAAATGACAGGATCTAAAAGAAAAGGAAATACTTGTATACACCCCAGTAATTTTTTTATCAGCATATAAACCCAGAAATTATCACAAAAAGCAGATTATATAAACCCAAAAATCCAAACAGATTTTAGATTATCACTAAAGGGAATAGGAGTCTAACACTACTGGGAATAAGAAACAAAGCTAGTACAGTACCTCAATTGAGCCACATCTGAAAAAATATCAATTCTGCAGTACCAAAACACAACTGAAGTTCTATAAAGAACTGAATGACAGAAATCTTCCTCAACCTGCTTGCTCTGATACTGCAGTAACATTTGCAGATAACCATCACAAAAGTACTAAGCCACTGAAATCTTGAACTTGCTAAACACCACATGTACAGACTAAGCAAGAAACGCATCTTTTATCAATATCAATAAATCAAGTAACACGTTACAACAGCTCAGATTGTAAAATTTATCAAGAATCAGTTCTTCAAACCAAATGGCAACCTAATGAAGGTACTGGGTGCCATGAAGCATGGAACTGATGGAACAGTATTCACATGAAGAGCCATAGTACATTCTTTATCAGGACAAAAAACTTGCCAAGCGATTAAACAATTGGAAAGGTGGTGGTAGTATACAGATGAAAAGATCATAGGTTTGCAGCAAAAAAGAGCTTCAAGCATAGTCAAGGCACTTTTTTATAGCAAGTAAATATTCATAAAAGAAAGCAAAAAACTATATGATAAAATGGAGGGATGGTCCTTTATGTGATATGTTGAAGTTAGAAGCTTGAATTGGTGAAGTATTTATTCTCAAGCTGTGATGATTTACTATGCCTTGATGTGAACTTTAGTGTTCTTCAGTGAAAAAATCATTGTTATTTTTTAATTCTCATGCTTGCTGTTTGCCACTTCAGTTAAGAAAACAACCCAGTAATTTTGATGTTTTTTAACAAAAAACCAACCATTACCCATGCAACACCAAGGCAACTGGGTGCTCCTCTAGTACCCAACCTCGCCTTTATGCCTTGACAACTATGGCTTTAAGGAGTGGAACATTATTTTTCTTTTATTGTTGATCAAATACATGATTATCGCTCAGGTTAGTAACCAGCAAAGTTTCACACTTTTCTCCAGCAAGCCGCAACTGCGAATGTATATAAAATCATACTAGAGCAGGCTCTTTGTGCCATCTAATTCAATAGATGGCAGACAAAGTTCTTCATAATGAATCTATTGACCATTAATTATGACTAGGAATCTAGGATATAAAAGCCTCTTTTACAAACCAAATCATTGTTGGAATGAAAACAGAAAAGAGAAACCTATTAGCTATCAATGGAACCAATATTTGTGGTATTAGTCACACTAGCTTAGCCTTCTTTTAATTATGTTGTTAGGGTGTGAGTTACTTACATATAAGCATGCAATCTTAACTTTTGAAAGGCACGTCAGGGTAAATAACTATGTTCAGTAATAGGCACAATTCTCCAATATTTTGCCAGAAATATTCTAATCACATCTTGTTGTTTACAAATAATAGAATAGTTGCACAAAAGGGCCTGCATTTAACATCCTTAGGTAATGGCATAATTAGTAATGAAGTTAAAAATGGTGACAAAGTTCCTCCATGTGGAGTGGATGCTTAAACTCAAATGAATCATATTTCATTTAGTGTTTATCATGACCAAATTATCAAATTCAATAAAAATTAGTTCCACCCAAAACCAAGCAAGTGACTGTGACATTTGCAATTATTTAAAGTCTATCATGTTCACTGTGTGAAAGCAAAATTCCATTGTTTGCTTACATTGCACAGGTGTCAAAATAGTTCCACCCAAAACCAAGCAATTCACTGTGACATTCGCAATTATGGTGAAATTATCAAATTCAATAAAAATTCGTTCCACCCAAAACCAAGCAAGTCACAGTGGCATTTGCAATTATGAATGGCCTATCATGTTCACAGTGTGCAAAGCAAAATTCTATTTTTTGCTTACATTCCACAGATGTCAAAATAGTAAATTACCTTTTGAAGTGGAATGTTTTTGGTCAATTTCTTCAGGTATGAAAAGGAACATCCCTCCGCTTCAAACCAATCGTCTCTTGCAAACACAATGTCAAGATTAAAAGAAACAACACTTATAATAGGCACTAAATCCATTCTATCATGGTATTTAAAACCAGATTTTTGGAGCATCGTTTACAATGTGCCAAAGGAAAATATGTTACATACATAAGTTTCAAGTGAAACTGAAAAAGAAAGGCCATTATGCCACACCTTGCGATCCAAGCAGGCCACAGGAGGCACCTTTTATGATCATCAATGCTCGAGGACCAAAAAAATACCCTGCGACAATTTGGTCTGACGGGAAAAAGAAAAGAATATATTTCTCCACCCAATTCATCAGGGGTGCCTGCTAAACAACAGCATCAATGATCACCTCACAAACAGAGGTTTCGCAACTTCACATGCAATACATGTCTCTCACCTCAACTGCATACACCAACTGTGAAATGCAAGTTAAAACCTGAGAATTGGGGTCCGAATGTCGTTGTACACCCAATTATTTCTTCAGCAAAACAAGCCACCAGTGCCTAATTCCCCTTGCTGCAACTCCTTTCTTCGTTGTTCTTCTAGTGGGTCAGGGCTTTTCATTATTCTTCGTAGACGCCTAATCACATCAAGATAACCCAAGAATGTGACAATTAGACCAAAACAAAAAAACAAAAAAAAAACAAAATATAAATCATGATGCATGTAATTTTTTGCAAACTATAGGCTAAATTACCTATCCTGAGCATGCTGAGCAGGAAACGTTGGCATGAAGTCCTTCGATTTAGGGAGAGGAACTTCACGGAACCACTCATGATTAAGAGCAGCTTCTGCAGTTATCCTCTGCATGAAGTAACAGCATGACTTGATGAGTACAAACCTGGGAAAAAATAGAGTCAAGATGCAATCTTTCTGCAATATACTTAATAAAAAGAAATACCTTCTCAGGGTCGTAAGTTAGAAGTTTGTTCAACAAGTCAAACCCAGAATCAGATAGAATTGGAGACCCAGTGAAAGATGTGGCTGGAAATTTCTTGCGAAGTAGATTGTACCTGAAAGAAACAGGTCAATTGTTACTATAAACATAAATTATGTTGCTTAATGGAAAAGTGCAACCGAGGCAAGCCACCAAGCCAGACCAGAATCACTGAAAGCTGGAAGCCTGGGAAAAGTGACAAGAATAATAACATTAGATGTCACCACCTACTAGATTAAAAACAAGATATGGTAGGAGTTACTCACTGATGTTTAACGAAGTTAACCTTCACTCCAGGCAACTTTGAAAATCCCGGCCATATAGTTTCATTAGGTGTGCCAAGGGTTCTAAAAATCTGCCATTCAGAAATTATCATCAAATCCAATCCCTTCGGCAACAAAGAAGAAAGAGAAAAGTTGCAAAAGTTAAGAGGAAGAGCAAATACCTTGTCAAGCTGGTCAAATTCAGATTTCCCATTAAATAGTGGCTCTTTAGATAGAAGTTCAGCCATAATACAACCCAATGACCACATGTCAATTGCTGTTGAATATTGTTTTGCCCCTAATAGTAGTTCGGGCGCCCTGCGGAAAAAAAAAAAGCATCACATTATAATTAATTGAGCTTTTCTACAGGACAAACATATAAGAAAAATAAAGATGTCAATTATGAAACTAGAAAATGAAGAACAAGTGATAAAATCAATCACAGAAAAGTTGAAATGGGCAAAAAAGGATCTAAAAAACCTATTAAAAAATCAGCAGTGGTATAAAAATAAGATCCACGTCTACTGCATTCCAAAACTAACTACACGGGTTGAGTTAAATATATATATATATATGATATTTCTAACCAGAAGAGGGCAACAACAAGTTAACCAGAATTAGTAACATAACTGGAATAAGATTCATAGTATGGACAAATACGCAAGCATTGAATTTAAACAAAGCAGTGAAATGGCCAATCCTCCATACTCATATAACTCAAAAGTATGACTTAAACAGTGCAACTAAAGACCCAGATGACAGGAAATAAACTCAAAATGATAACATTTAACATAGACACAAGGATCATAGAAAAATGACACTGAAGAAAAAATTCATAGAATGGAAAACAAAAGTTCAATTAGGAAGACATCAATTAAAGACCAAGAAAACACAAACAAAGAAACCCTAAAAAGTAACTGTAACACAAATTGTAAAGTAACTTTCAGCTCCCTGTGATAAATTCCTAAGCTTTGATCATTAAACAGACACCAAGACATTATGGCAAAAAGATGAGATAAAATGCAGTATCACTGAAAACCAGCTAGCTTAAAAGAAAAACAGAAAGCCAACATCATCACAATCAAATCTGACATTGTACACATACAATGTAGCACTCACCTGTACCATAGAGTAACCACCAAATGAGTATAGGGTTTCAACGGACTACCATACTGGCGGGACAACCCAAAATCACAGATCTTCAACTCACCACGATTGTTCAAAAGAAGATTTGAAGTCTTCAAATCCCTATGAAGCACCCAATTATCATGCAGGTACTTGACACCCTCTAAAAGCTGTAGCATTAGACATTTAACTTCACTTTGACTGAAAGGCTGTTTCATGGTCTCCATCAGTCCTTTGAGGTCATGTTCCATATACTCCATAACCATGAAAATACTGTCAAGGTTACTCCCCACAACTACTTCCTTGACATCCACAATTGATGGGTGATGAAATGATAGGAGAATATTTATTTCCCTAAGAGAGGTTAAAGGAAAACCTTCTCTTTCTTTCTCCATCTTCACCTTTTTCAAAGCTACAATCTCTCCTGTCTTCTTATCTCTGGCCCTATAAACAACACCATAAGTACCTTCATCTATCTTGTTGAGTCTCTCAAATTCATCAACACTTCTACATCCCTGCAGCATGTTTATATTTCTCTGGGGTGGTACAACAGGCTCTGGTGTACTACGGTAATCATTCTCCCTATCAGAATCTGTATCCGACTGGTGAACACTAGTACTCTTGTTATCAGAATCCTCATCAACCTCCATAATATCATTCTTGTCCAACTCCATTTCAGGGTTTTCATCACCAATGGCGAGTCTTGCATGGCCTACTCCATCTGATTCAGAAGATCTAGTGCGAGCTCCTTCAGATCCTTCTCTTGCAAGTTTCCCATGTTCTGGAGTTAATGTTTTAGTGTTTAATCTAGTATCCACTGATCCAGGTAGAACATTCTTCTTCCTCCCTTTAAGCATGTCTTCATCATCAGAAATTTCACCCTCATCCCTGGGAGAATTAATCTCATCTGCCCATCGTGAGGCCGATATATTCCTCGTTGGAACAAAGTCATCTTCTTCCAGCTGCCCTGGTTCTTGATCATTGCTCCACTGCTGCACCTGTGGCGATGAGGAGGATATACCTGCTGGAGACTCAGATACAGCAGAACCTACTGACCCCGGTGCTATCATGGCTTTGACCGGTGATGACAGCTTGTTCTCAAGTTGGTTAGGTTTGGCAGGAGAAATCTGTATACCTCCATCTGGAATAACATTTGGTGACTGGCGAAAATGTTTAGGCAATGGAGGAGGAGGAGGAAGTGTTGTGCTTGTTGAAGCAATTCTGTTTTTAGGCATATTGCTCACATCCCTATCTTCTCTGTCCCATACAATTGGAGAGAACTTCCTTTTCTTACTAGGGGGTGAGCTCGCTCCATTTTCACGTTTTGAAACTTCAGAATCTTTAACCCGTGATTCAGAAGCGATGGCATCATCAGATCCACTTCCACTCGATAGCTCACCTGGTTCACGTTCTGCCATTCTACCGGGATACCCACCTCGCCTGCGGCCACTATCACTGCTTCCTGAATTGCTCGTGCTGGAAGAAGAATGGTAGCCACCATTTGTCACCTCTCTCTCCTTAATATCCTTCTGTCTAACCCTAATCCTATCTCTGGCATCCCGCTCTTTACCTCGTTCAAGGTCTCGACTGCGATAGCGATCGTATTCTTCCTTGGAATAATAAAATTCCCTTCTCCTGGAAACCTCGAGATCTGACTCGCGTTCTCTGAATTCATTATCACGATAGCCGCCATGTCTTCCTGCCGCCATATACTCGAATTGTGTCTTGAGTCAAAATTAGCAACAAGATGCAAGGCAAGGGAGACTCCTAGTTCCGCAGAGTAAAACCCAAAATAATCAAGAATAAAGCCCTAATCAGAACCCTGGGGGCGACAGTGCCACTTGATCTTCTTCTTTCCAACTTAGAAACCCTAGGTTAACGGGAATCGACTCGAAACACCGTAATTCAAACAATCAAGCATGCAATATTTCGATTAAGAACAACAACAAATTCAAAATATGAAGATATGAAGAAAAATATTTCGTGACCGAATCGCATATAGAAGAAACGGAGATCGAGAAGGAGCGAAACCCTAGAAATCGAAAGTTTAATAGAGATACGCCGATAGAAAAAAATAAACCCTAGGTCTCTTCTCCTCCGGACCTCCGGTTTGGAACTACAGTCGAAATTATAAGCTTAGGAGTCTTACCGACGAATGAGATAGACAGAGAGAGAGAGAGAGAGAGAGAGAGATAGGGCGGCGCCGCTCCGTCGAACGAAATAAACAATCGTCACTAAGAAGCGAAGTCGCAACGAAGGAGACTGTTTAGATACCCTTCTATACGCGAAAATATTTTCTCTTTCATTGCGATAGATATATTATTTTGATGAATAGTGATGGATTCAAGGTTCATTGGATTTTGGTTGGTCCACGTGAATAACTCTTGTAAATTGGGATTTCCTCCCCACCCAACGCACCTCACACCGATTTCACAGACATATCTCCCACGAATAATACCATATATACAAGTAATCAAGTATGGAAGATGTTTCCATACGAGTCCCGCTTCGATAGGGCAAATCTCGTTCTAATAGCTTTTACAGCCTTGCGTTAGGAATATCTCCTTATATGATTTATTTCATGGGAGATATTCCTTTGCAAGTTGCAAGAGGTTGCTCGAAATGTGCGAGCACCAATTTACCCTAACAGAAGCCAAACTCTTTCTAAACCATAGTGTATATAATGGGATGTGCATATTGTGGAAACAGATCCGGTCTCTTAACATGTAGATAAAAGGGCAAGGATAAATTACAAATACCTCTGTAATATGGGATCGTCAGTGACAATTGCCCTTAACATTCATATGCGACAAAAGATCCCTCTGAATTTTCACTTTGCTATAAAACACCACCCCTTCTGTTAGAATTATGTAAGTTATCTTTAGATAAGATTCTAGTTTGGCTGTTTAAAATTTTTTAAGTCCCCAAAATAGTCATTTCTTGAACAACTTATGATTCGATCGGTTTTCTAAATATAATGTTGAAGTCCTTTCAATTGCTCTAATAGATCTTTGCAAATTTTTTGTTGGTTTCAACGTTCATGTAAAATGGTAGAGATTTTCTTTCTAATATATATAAATTTAAGGTTTCATTTGGTTTTCTTGGTTTATTAGGAAAAAAAAAGTGTGGATAAATTTGTATATCTTAAGATGAAGAAAGACATTTTATCAACCAAAAAAAAAGATGAAGAAAGACATTTTATCAACCAAAAAAAAAGATGAAGAAAGGCATTTCATGTTAGTGAAAACAAAACAGTAATTTAAAAAAAAAAAAAAAAAAACTTATTTTTTCTATGTTAGTGAGATAATTCTTGCTATTTTAGCTGGTTTTGTTCGAAAAAATTAGATGTGTTTTTTGGGTCAACTGTGGTTTAAGAGAAAATGATGATAAAAACAAAATAAGGAAAGTTTATGGTGGATAGTTTGAAATTTTAAACACATCGTATCATTCGACTTAATGTATATTTTCGCAAGTGAAGGTCTAAGGGGTCTTTTGTCACAAATGAAAATCCATTCGGCTCAATTTAGAAGGAGTATAAATGCAAATTTGTAGAGTGTAATGTACTCCTTCTAAATTGAGCCTCAGGTACAAGGGGGTCTTTCTAGTTTATCCGGGGAAAAAAAAAAAGCAATTTCTCTAATGTTGCATGGGTTTTGGTACCAAAACAAAATTCACCGATCAAAACCCCAATGCATAGTAGTTGATTGGTTATCCCTTCTCATAAGAATCAATAGACGTTGTGTGACTTGGAGGCAACCCAAAGGTTGACAAAGTACTTGCAAGAAAAAAATGAGGTCAGATGGCTTGGGGTGATATCCGACAAACAAGTTAGAATGGGCCAAGTTGTTCGAGGTGCTAAAGTTGATAATTAATGAGGCTAAAAGTGTATTATAAATGCAAAATTAACCTTTAAATAGACTTCAAACACTCGTGCTAAACGGATACCTGAAAGCCAGACAGGACACCTATAACTAAAGTGGGACACATACAGGTGACTCATGTGCCACGTTATTCATGCGTGGAGGAAGCCCGCCCGCTGATTGATAGGGCAGCCATGCACAATGATGATGATGTTATAAGCGAGGCCGCCAGGTAACCACTTCTGCATACACGTGGTAAAGCTTGGGGTGCTTCTTCTGATACAACTTGCCTCGGTGAAGTGTGCTTTCTCACGCATACAAATCGGATCATACACTGAGTTGCATATTTACCCTTAGCAGCTCAACGATTCAATTAGAGCAGAGGCCCGATCACCCAATAAGAGACCAGCTCTCCCAAAGCGAGCTGTGCTAGAATAAGGTGGGACCTCGACGGCCGATGTGGCATCGGTGGACCTAGATGGAAGTTCACAGGTGGAGGTGTAGGTGCTATTGGGGTTGACACGTATTTGAATTCTATTGCATGTCACTTCTACCTCCATCACCTTTTATGATGCCAGTTGATTGGTAGCAAACTAGCAATAGCGTATGGCATAGAGGTTCAGGTGGGTTGAGTCAAGTTTAAGATCGATCCAGCCCATCCCTAAGAATTGCCTAAGGCCCTAGCCTTGACCTCAATCCATCTAACCCGGGCATAACTTGTATTAAAATTTAACATTCATGATGGGCTCATACATAGTTCACTAGTAAATCATCTTACATCTAAACAACATAAATATATGTATTAATGTATGTATGCATTTATATGCATTTACGTAAGCACTTATCTATCTATATGTATATTTATACATGTGTGTGAGTGTAACAAGTATAACAACATTCAAAATATTGATACGACTATACCAAAAAAATGAGCTTGTTTGCATGTCAATTGCTTGATACTCTTTATTTTTTTTTTTCAGTTTCTCATTTATAAACATGTTTGTTATGATGGGTATTAGCAAAATCCCCCAACTTAGTATTGTACATGTTGGTAGCCTTGAAATCAATACCATTTAAACCTTGGTGTATGTTTGGATGTGGTTTGATTTGGACTAAGATTGAGAACAATTGGATCAAGCATAAAAGGCTTGGTCCCACCATGAAAAAAAATATAGATCTATGCTAGCCCACTCAAGTTGGACCTCTAATACGGCGTTGAAGTTTAACTTGCGAAACAAATAATTAGGGTTTTCCTATCACCTTTCTCGTAACAAATGGTAAAGAAGAACAAAGACGATCTTCCACATGTAGAAAAACCATTCGTTATAAGTCAGATCCACCCCCTCCCCCCACCCTTAGGACCTAGGGCTATGTCTATAGGAAAGCGAAAAGAAGGAAAAGACAAAAAAACCAATACAAGGGTTGTAAAGGTTTTCCTACCTTTTTCTACATTTTTCTTCAAACCAAACGTAGCCTTAAGGGGCAATTCCATTTCACCAATTAATTTTGGTTTGCAAAGATTGGGGAAAAAGAACTATCCTTAGAGATAATATTGGAGGTACAACTAGGAGTAATACCCGAGCAGAAAAAAAATAAAGGAAATTGGGCCTGTTGATTTTGCAAATTTTACACGATGGAAAATGTGAACCAGTTTAATGATTGATGGAGATTGGGACCAGTTGATTTTACAAATTTACACCGCCCATGTTTGGTTGTCTAAGGTGTAAATTAGATGGAATTATTTGTCATAGATGGAAAACTAGTTTTGGGAATGTAATGCTCAAAATGGATAATGAACAAAATGTTTGAAACTCCGAGGCGACGAAGAGGCGGAGTGATGTTCAAGTCATATCGAGCATTACAATCCAAACATTATAAGATTGATAAAGTATCACCAAATCTGTATGTTGAACCTCTATTTAGATTATTTGTCAACAGATCTAAGATGGATTACAATCCAGACATATAGATTTGGCTTCATTTGGTCAGAATAGTGTTTATACCATGTTTGTGGCGAGATAGGGATGATGATGCACAATGTCTTTGGTATGAGTAGACCTTCGAACCTGCAAGAGAGAGAATATAGAGTGAGAGAGAGATTTGAGAGATACTGGAAGAGGGAGGGAGAGAGAGAGAGAGAGAGAGAGTGGAAGAGAGGGTATCTTGTACCAGATATTCGACAAAGAAGAAACGGTGCAAATGATTATAGAAGCTGATGAGTTTTACATCGATAATTTTGATGTACATTTTACATCGATTGTCGGTGTAAGGAGAATTCAAGGTGGAGTTTTACACCGATTTACAGGGTAAAATTACACTTTTTCCAAACTCATTTAAAATGTGTAATATATCAAAATATTCTCAGGTCATTTTTTCTCCAAACCTTACCTCTTCTACTCCATCTCATATATATATATATATATATATATTTATTTATTTATCTTGGCCCCCAGGAGAAAATTCTGGCTCCACCACCATTGTTAAGAGCTTTAAAAAAAAGTCACTTTATTTATAGATACGCCATAAATTTAATGTGCACTTATTATATAATGCCGATACTTACTTTAATCTCATGTTTAAACTACCATGCAAGAAATCCAATCCATTTATTTTTCTTGGAAATGCTCATTCTACTTTATCTTCACCTGACCTGCACATGCATTTACATGCATATATTATTTGAAAATGCTAAGATTAGTCACAAACACGAGAATGCGAGTTCTAGTATGATGCCATTTTATGAAAAAAAAAAAAAAATCCATAGGTGAACTCCTTATCTGCTTCCAATCCCATCTAGGGGTGGCAAATGGGGTCAAAGAGGGTTACAACCCACTCTGACCTTGACCCACCCTAACCCACCCATTTGACCCTTGATTCCAATTAATTTTTTTTTATTCTAATTAAATAAAAACATAGAACTATATATTTCAATTTCCAACTAAAAAACATAAAAGATCCAATTTAGAAAAATAAAAATCATAAAAAAACACAAAAATGGAAAAAATATATATTTCATGCAAAACATCAAAAAAATGTAGAAAATACAAAAAAATTGCATGATTATTAAAAAATGCAAAATTATGCAGAAAATTACAAAAAAACTGTAAAATATACATTTCAACTAAAAATACATGAAAAAAGATAACAAAAAGATCAACATTTTTTTTCAATTATAAAATACATAAATACACAAAAAATGATAAATATATATTTCATGTAAAACACCAGAAATCGCAAATAATATAAAAATAATAAAAAACTAAATGAAAGTATACAATTCAAATAAAGAGCATAAATTTAAAAAATATGGAAAATTGCAAAAATTAAAAAAAAAGGAAAAGATTTCAGAAAACAAAATTTGTAGGAAATAACAAAAATTATGAAAAAAACACAAAAAAAATCAAATAAATAATAGAAAATACAAAAAAATATATAGATTGTTGAAAATAGAATATTGCAGAAAAAACAGAGATTATAAAAAACATTGAAAATTATACTAAAACACTAAAAATACAAAAAACCAAGAAAACTGGAGACGAAAAAACTTGAAAAATATAAAAATTTGTATAAAAACAAAAAAATGCAAAAAAAAACACAATAATATATAGGAAAGCATGGAAATGCAAATAAATGATAAAAATACAGAAAAATGTAGATAATAAAATATAACAATCATAGAAAAATAAACAAATTTTGTAGAAAAATAACATAGGTTTCAAAATATTAGCTGCATTTTGAGAGCTTCGACGTCTTTGCTTCATTCAGTATTTGGTGGTCCTTGGGTGGAGATGAATGTCAAAGAGAAGGTGGAGACATTGAGGAGGAAAAGAATAGAGGGAGACGGAATAGAGAGAAGAAGAAGAAGAAAAAATACTGATTTTCTCTGGTTCGTTGAATCAAGGAGGAAGGGAGGAAGATGACGCAATGAGGAGATGAGAATGAAAGGGGGGAGAGAGGCATGGCTTGTTTCATTCAACAGTAGATGAAATCTACACTCTGGTTGCTAGTGTTCTTTGCGCTTTAGTCGCTGTTGCACTTTGTTCAACGGCAGATGAGCATAACTTGTTTCGAAGCCTCTTTTACAACCCTAAAGGGTCATTCGACCCTCTTTTACAAACCTAAGAGATAGAGAGAGAGAGAGAGAGAGAGTAGCTTGAATTAATTAATGACCCAAGTGGGTAATCCTTAACCCAACTCCACCCTGATCCTTTTCCCCTAACCCCAATGGATCATTCGACCCATATTGACCCACCATTATAATGGGAGGGTTGGGTGGGGTCAAGATTGCTAGCCTTAGTTTCGTTCTCATCCAAATTCACAAGGCCAACAATGGGGTGGGAGAGGGGAGACTTTGATATAAGAGATGAGCTCAAATCTCCTACCCATAAGGATCCTCCTCACGCCAACCCAAGGACACTACATTTGTACATTGGGAACATCTCCCCATAAATGGCAACATATAAATATGGAGATCACATTGGCACTCCACAAGTGCCTCACATGCACATCTCAGCATGCATTGGGAACATCTCCCTTACTTATCATGGGGAGATGTTCCCAATACACCTGTGGGCGATATTGTGGGCTGATCCCAATATAGTGGTAGGTCGGTAGGTGTGGATAAGAGATCCGGATTCAGATTCCCAATAGATGCACATGTGTGTTTGTGAGAGAGAAAGAGAAAGGAATAATCAACTAGCACCACTAAGGGCCTGTTTGGTAAGTCTTTTTTAGAATGTATTCTTGTAGCTCTGGCAGTCAAAAGACGCATTGAGCTTTTGACATAAGATTTAGGCAGCCCGACGACACGTGTGTCTTTCCGTGCATCATTTCAGGTCTTTCTGTGCGAGAGACACGAGAAGCTTCATTTGGAGCTTCTCGAAATCAGCCCAAAATGGGTTTTTCATGTCTTTTCAGCACCTCGTCTTTTGGCGGCTAGATCTTCTGCGTGCCAAACAAGAATAGACCAATTTCTAATATTCTCAACTTGTAAACAGCCGAAAGACCGTATAGAAAAATATGCCAAACGGGCCCTAACTTATTCAAAATAGGAGATGGTCGAATTTAAGCAAGTCAATTGTTAACTAGAAATGATAATAGATAAAATGAAAATGCATGTGGATAGGTGTTTTTTTTAAGAGAGAATGAGGTCCATTAGCTGTCTCAAGTCTCAACCGATAAATCTTTGTTCCCATGTCTCTTATACAAAACCATCGAATACCTGATGCTGAATCTTCAGCAGACTTAACTGATTTGCCAAGGTGACTCACTACAATCCATTTTTTTTGTCTCCTCTTCATCTTGGATCATATTTGCAGGATCCAAGTTTTCATCTTCTTCCCCTCTCACCACTACTAGAATGATCTCTCTCCTTTGGAAAGTAGGACTGTAGGATCAATTAAGATTGTGTCATCATCAGCATTTGAATTTTGGGGTTTGGTCTTAGCGTGGCTTCCAAGTTCCATCTCCCCTTGAAATTCCAACTAATTAACCACTGTCAGGCATCATCCCACCCATAAGGCTGTAATCAGATTAGATCTGCTGCATTCACATCCGATCCAATATCTTGGGATTGAGTCGAATTTGGATTTAATCCGAATGCAATTTATTGTGCTTAAAATGACAAAAAAATAAAAAATAACTAATTATTTTCAACTCAGACATGTATGGTAAATGTCTATAAAAAATAAACAAGTTCATTATAATGATGTTATAATTGAATAAACTTGAGCCAACCCTAACCAACCCGACCTAATCCGACCCGACTTGCACCCCTATTTCCTGAGTCTATTGACCAAGAAGGCAGAAGCTATGTAGTTTTCCCTTCATACAATTCTGTTTGGGACATAAAAACGAGTCAACGAGCGACAGATGCAGGAACTCCACTCATGGATACTTTCATTTGTCTGAAGCTCTGGGTTCTTTCAAACTCAATGGCCGTTCTCTGAAAGCTTTTCTCCTTGCGCCATGGCCATTTTGAGATCTTTCGGGAGGTTATATGGGTTCTACAGCTTCAGGACCAGAACCAGAATCTGCCCATATGAGCATGTGACCAGAAGAAATTTGTCGGACTCGAATAAGAACATCAATGGCGACAGTGAAGTTTTGCCAGTTTTGATCGTGGGTGCAGGTCCTGTTGGTCTTGTTCTCTCTATTCTCCTCACCAAATTAGGTATCTCTAAGTGTTTTTTTATTTTATTTTATTTCTGTTGGGATTGATTAAAATTTGAAATCGGCTAATTTCATTAGTGGTTTAGTGCTTCTCTGTGCCTCTTTCTGTTTGATATCTAATTTCCGCTTGCAAATTCCATGTTTTCGTCTTCCTTATCAAATTTCCTCCACGCGAAAAATCCAAAATGGTCAATAGAATAACAACATTTTTTTATGGCACGACGCAACGTTCCACCGTTTTACATGCTTTGCTGCATTTTAACCCCAATAAGCTCAAACGACCGGCTATGCTGATTATGAAATGAAATATTTGATTTTGGACAAAGATCGAAAATTGCACAATCCTGAGCTTCTGTCTTCATTATCATCTGCCTTCTCTTCATAGACAAAAACTATCTGATTAGAAAGTTTCATTTAGATAATATGTCTAAGCTTTCTTGTTGTGGGGTGGGAATGGGGCCAAACACCGCGTGCGCGTTTCTACTGTTACCCAACTGGACGTTACTGTTTGCATTCATCGGAATGAACAAAGGGGACCGGGGGGGGGAGGGTGAGGGGGGAGTGTTGATTCTTGTCAAACTATTCACGAAACTTATTGAATGTTCAGACACTTGATTATTTGAGCTTGGTGTTGTGGAGGACCAATGCCGGTCAGATATACATGGAAACTTCCCCCACCCTTTTTGATGGGAAGACATAAGTGGACCTCTATACATTATAGCCATCTTAATGAACTCATAGAAATGTGCTAGTGCCTTGTCCAACTCACTGATTAGCTATTTGAATTATATTTGGGAACTGAGACCATTCTTGCCTTAGAATTTGCATGTTCAAAATATATTTGGAACTGAAGAATGCTATTTCCTACAGGGCCTGGGGTTGGCCGGGTGATGTTTATTGGATCCCTAGAATGATGTATGTGTGTGTACTCCCAATTTGATGCACTCCAACCTGAACATTACTATCTCTTAGTAGACCGGATGGTCTCTCTTGTATGTACTCCCAACTTGTATGTGCATGTGCAAAGTTCTCTCAGATAGATGCACTCAAATCTTTTCATTAGATTTTTTTGACCCTTTCTTTCCCCATTCTTTTTTCTTTTGGAAAAAATGGCAGTACTCAAGTTTTTCTTGCTTTTCTACCATTGAATATATAATGTGCTTTATTTTTTGTCTTATTTTTCTTTCCAAGGTGGCAGAACTAAGAGCAGAAAGTTTTCTTTTCTTTTCTAGGAGTCAAATGTGCCATTTTGGAGAAAAACAGGACCTTTTCTCAGCATCCACAAGCCCACTTTATAAACAACCGATCAATGGAGGTTAGTTAAGGAAGGAATATAACTGGTTTTCCTATCAGAAGTAAACCTTTGTTTAGTTGTATAATCCTGTTATAATTTAAAACTCTTTGTCAGGTGTTCCGCAAATTGGATGGTCTGGCAGAGGAGATCCAAAGATTGCAACCACCTGTTGATTTGTGGAGAAAGTTCATATACTGCACCTCTCTCTCTGGTTCTGTTCTTGGATCAGTGGACCATATGCAACCTGAAGGTATGGAAACTAAATGGTTTCAGTTAATCTTAAAAGCCAGGTTACCCATGATTGTTCCTAAAGGCACATAGTACGGTGTGCCTTAACATATTGGAACAGGGCTATTTGATACATGTTGTGTTATGGATGCATTCGTGGGGAAGACATACCGCCGCCGGCAGCAGCAATGAGGAGGGGCCCACACGACAACTTATCCTGCCAGCTCTCCACCAGCTTACCTTATCTCATCTATTCTTACTTTATCTATTAGAAATAGGAGTTAAGTTCTGTTCTTAGTAGGAGTTTGTTTACCTATTAGAAGTAGGAGTTTGATTTAAAGTTGGATTATCCTAGCCTAGTCGAATTCAATAAGGAGTCACCCCTTGTAATCTCCTATTTAAGGAGCTGTGAATTGGGAATAAAGGCATTCGGTTTTTTAGTCAAGGGAAGAGTGAGGAGAGTTCGGGTGATCTCTTGGACAAATCACCCATTAGGTTGCCACAATAGGGTCTGCACGCAAAGGGAGGGGCAAGGGGAAGCTAGAGGTTCTCCCCGTGGACCGACCCATGACGAGATCCTACGCCCGGGCCCATAACATCTTGGTATTAGAGCCTACCGTCATGGGAGATTTGGAGCCGCTATCATCCAGGGTCCACGAACTGGAGCATAGGCTCGCAGAAACCAGCATGGAGGTTCGTGAGGTCAAAGACAATGTCCGGGAGCTACGACGCTTGCTGGAAACGTTTTTCTCTAACAAAGAAAGGAACTCCGAGGGAACCGCCACCACCAACAGTCGTTGGCCGGACTGGGCAGAGACGTCCGACGAACATCTGATCGCCGCCCCGACAACCACAGTTATTCCCAAGTATAGTCGGCTAGAATTTCCGTCTTACAACGGCACCGGAGACCCATTAGGATGGTTATATCGCTGCGAACAGTTCTTCCGTAACCAGCGCACTGATGACAGAGACAAGGTCAGTCTAGCCACCTTCCACCTAACGGAAGAGGCACAGCTCTGGTTCTACCGTCTGGAGCAGGAAGAACCCGGGCTCAGTTGGGAACAATTTAAATCCTATTGCCTCCTCAGGTTTGGACCCCCGTTGACAAGCAACCCGCTGGGCAAGTTAATTAACCTCAAGCAAACTGGAACCGTGGCAGAATACCAACGCTAGTTCCAAACCCTTCTCGCCAGGGCAGCCTCGGTACGCCCAGATCAGCAAGTAGATGTGTTCACCGCGGGGTTAGCAGAACCCCTAAGGGTGGACGTGGAGATGCAACACCCTCCCAACCTGGTCACAGCAATGAACCTCGCACGCGCCTTCGAACGGAAACTGCAGCTCACCCACGAAACCCTCAGTATAGGTCGGCCAACAACGACCTGGGCGCCTTCGAAGACAGCAGGAGTGTCTCCTTCTTCGACCGCCAGTAGGGAATAGAGGCCTCCTACCAGTAACCCTTCCAGATCGGCATCAAGTATAGGGAGTAGCAGGACAACGCCCCCCATTAGATGACTGTCCCGAGCCGAGATGGCAGAACGACGCGCAAGAGGGCAGTGCTTCAACTGCGATGATCTGTACTCCTCTGGGCACAGGTGCAAGAAGCTATTCTGTCTTCTGGTAGACGAACCCGAAGAGGACGAGGATGAACCTGCAACATCAGATCCCGAGATCTCCCTCCACACAATCATGGGGATCAAAACCTCACAAACCATGCAACTAAGGGTGCTGGTAGCAAGGAGACCAGTACGCATTCTCGTAGACTCCGGAAGCACCCACAACTTTGTCAGTGAACAGGCTGCCCGCCAGTTAGAATTACCGATGGAAATCAGGCTGCAATTACAGGTAGCCGTGGCAAACGGGGAAAGAGTTCACAGCCCCGGTATCTGCAAGGACACCAAAATTTAGGTCGGATTAGAATCTTTCCTTGCTGATTTATTCGTACTCTCCTTGGATGAATTCGACATCGTCCTGGGAGTCAAGTGGCTGATCACTCTAGGGCCAGTCCTATGGGATTTCAACGCCCTGACAATGACATTCCATCTGGATGGAAAACCGGTTACATGGCAGGGAACCAGGATAAGAACAAAGACGTAGTTGCATACACTTCAAGGTGAGAACTTGCGCGCAACAGATATGGAGAGGCTTCTCACGGATTTCTCTACAGTATTCCAAGAACCCAAGGGGCTTCCACCGTCCAGAGCCTGCGATCATCGGATCCCTCTGATAGCCAGATCAGATCCCGTCGTCGTCCGACCCTATCGCTACCCACACCGACAGAAGGATGAAATAGAAAGGCAGTGTGCGGATATGTTACAACAAGGGATCATCCGTCCCAGCCACTCCCCCTTCTCCTCTCCGGTTCTGTTGGTACCCAAGCAAGATGGGACTTGGAGATTTTGTGTGGACTACAGAGAGCTTAACAACCAGACGGTCAAGGATAAATTTCCTATCCCCATCGTAGATGAGCTATTGGACGAACTCCATGGCGTCCAATACTTCTCAAAATTAGACCTCCGGTCGGGTTACTTCCAGGTCCGGATGACTCCCGAAGATATAGAGAAAACGGCCTTCAGAACACATCATGGCCATTTTGAATTCCTAGTTATGCCGTTCGGCCTCAGCAACACACCTTCCACGTTCCAGTCCCTGATGAACGAGGTATTTCACTCCCACCTCCGTAGATTTGTCTTGGTATTTTTTGACGACATCCTAGTCTGTAGCAAGTCGTGGGTAGAACACGTGTAGCATCTACAGACCGTTTTTGAACTCCTGCGACAACACCAACTCTTCCTTAAGCGATCCAAATGCTCCTTTGGGGAATGTCGGGTCCTTTACTTAGGACATGTGATCAGCGGGCAAGGGGTCACTGTGGATGACTCCAAGATTCAGGCGATCAAGGAATGGCCTAGACCACAATCCACCAAGGCTCTCCGCGGGTTCCTAGGGTTGACGGGTTACTACCGCAAGTTCGTACAAAATTACGGACTTTTGGCGGCCCCACTAACCAATTTGCTCAAGAAAAATGCCTTCCACTGGGATAATATAGCCGATGTAGCCTTTGCAAGTTTAAGAGAAGCCCTCTCCTCCACGTCGGTTTTACAGCTGCCAAACTTTGAGCTCGAGTTCACAGTCGAATGCGATGCATCCGGCACCGGCGTCGGCGCCATACTACAGCAGCAAGGGCATCCGGTCGCCTTCTTCAGCCGCAAACTGGCTGACCGCCACCTTAAATTACCCGCCTACGAACGTGAACTGATTGGGCTGGTTAAGGCAGTGCAGCACTGGAGGCCATACTTATGGGGAAGGTCCTTCGTCGTCAAGACGGACCACTACAACCTCAAATACTTGTTGGAACAATGGCTTACCACTTCGCCGCAACAACATTGGGTCAGCAAACTACTTGGTTTCGATTTTCGGGTGGAATACAAGGCGGGAACCTTGAACCGTGCAGCAAATGCCTTGTCTCGCCGAGAAGAAGACAATATGCTCCTCCATGCGATCTCCCAACCCTGAGCTACCCTGCTGGAAGACATCCAGAACACATTGCCGCAATCACCAGAGTGGAACGATCTTGTCTAGAAAATACAGTCCGGAACGACCAACCCAAACTGGTCCATGCATGACGGGTTGGCACTATACAAGGGACGGATATATCTCCCAGCCGACTGTCCCTTAATCCCCTCCGTCATCTCCAACATACACAACTCCACACATGAAGGTGTCCAAGAAACATTGCACCGCATCCACGCTGATTTCCACTGGCAGGGTATGAAGGCTTCGGTGCGGGACTTCATTCAGAATTGCTCTATGTGCCAACAACAAAAGTGGGAAAACTTGCACCCAGCAGGCCTTCTCCAACCACTTTCACTCCCAACTCAGATCTGGGTCGATATTTCCATGGACTTCATTGAGGGCCTACCCAAGGTTGGTGGGAAATC